CCCGAAGGGGCAATCGGCCCTAAAGGGCCGATTTATTTAATTCGTAAATCTCTGGCAGTTTCGTGCAATATTTATCAATATATGAATGTAATAAATGATTACAAATATTTTACAATGAAAATTACTAAAAGAAATCCTATCTTAATGCTAATGAATGAATATCTTGTTGATTCACCAGCACCATCTAACTTAACCTATTTCTGGAGCTTTGGTTCTTTATTAGGTTTAAACTTAATTATTTTAGTGGTTAGTGGTTTAACCCTAGCCATGCACTACACCCCTAATACTTTATTAGCTTTCTCTAGTGTTGAACATATTATGCGTGATGTCAACAATGGTTGGTTAATTCGTTACATTCATGCCAATGGTGCTTCTTTCTTCTTTATTTGGGTATATTTACACATTGGTCGTAACTTATTCTTTGGTTCTTACCGTACTCCACGTGGTTTATTATGGACTATCGGTGTTGTTATTTTTATTCTTATGATGGCTACTGCCTTCATTGGTTATGTACTCCCTTGGGGACAACTCAGTTAACATTTATCCCCTTAAAACATCACTAAATGCTGGAACGATTATAAATTTACCAGCAGGGAACATTTTTATATGAACCCTCAGAGACTATAAGTGATGGAGATAAGGATTATAGGCTTTATCTTATGATATAGTCCAATGGCTTTGAGCCGATATGAAATGAGCTTTTGGGGTGCAACCGTAATTACTAACCTTTTATCTGTTATTCCATGGTTAGGTCATGATTTCGTAGGTTTCATCTGGGGTGGTTTCAGTGTAGATAATCCTACCTTAAATCGTTTCTTCAGTCTTCACTACTTATTACCTTTCATTTTACTTGCTCTTGTTTGTATGCATTAGATGGCTCGATGATGGGTCATTTTAAATCCTATTATATGCTGGAATTGATCCCTAAGACAAAATCAGCAGAAAACCAATCATTATTGGGATTCTCAGAGACTATACATAGGAGTTAGTAGTAGTTTATAATTAATCTACTTAATAAGATATAGTCCAGATTATAAATGTAATTCTATAGAGGCATCAGCATTTTTATTCTACTAAACTAAAAGGTCGTAATGGTGGTATTACTAAAGAAGAGCGATCTAAACCGTTACCTAATCATTTAGTTTATGTATAGATTGGAATGATCTTAGGAGACGCTCATATAAGACGTCCTAAAACTCATAAAAATGCTCGTGTTGTCTTTAGACATGGTATTGGCCAATCTGATTTTCTTTATCACTTATATGAATTATTTATCGACTTTATTGATACACCTCCAATAATTAGTACATTGAAAGCTAGTGGTAAATTTAAAGAACGTCTAAGTATTTCTGTAGGTACCTTATGTTATTCTTGCTTTAATTCTTTCCGTGATTAGTTCTATTTACCTGATGGGACTAAAATTGTTCCATTAAACATTGCTGAACTTTTGAATGAAGTTGCTTTAGCATATTGGATTATGTGTGACGGTACTAAGGCTCCAAACGGTATTGTTATTCAAACACATAGTTTCACTAATGATGAAGTAGATCTTTTAATTGCTGCTTTGAAATCTAATTTTAATTTAGATTGTACTACTCATAATGTTACTGCTGAAAGTGGAAAAAAATCTAAGGTTATTTATATTAGTAAAGCTCAACAACCTTTACTTAATTCTTTAATTAGACCTCATATGATTCCTTCAATGTTATATAAATTACATTTATAATTAGCTTCATCAATTTGCTTCTAACAATCCTGATGGTATTTCTAGTACATCTGACCGTGTTCGTTTCCACCCATATTACACGTCCAAAGATATGGTAGGATTCATTTGGTTTGCTATCTTATTATCTGCCTTTGTTTTCTATGCTCCTAACTACATGGGTCATCCTGATAACAGTATTCCTGCTAACAGTCTTGTAACTCCTCATAGTATCGTACCTGAGTAGGTACTGCTCAGTATAAACTTCTAAATATGCAGGGATTTATAGATATATGATTTCTATGAAAATCTGCAGAATGTATTAATAGCCTTTTTGCTGCTAAATCAGGCGAATCTATATTCTCAACGACTATACTAGAAGGTCTTTAATGATAAGATATAGTCTAAATTACGATAGCAATATTGTATATAATTGTAGTACATTTTAATTTATTTTAGAATATTCGTAGTTTTCATACTAGTAATCTAAATGCTGCGAGACCATAGTTTAATAGTTTACCTCCTATTCCAGCTTTTGTACGTATTTTAACACCTCATTTAATCAATAAGGATCATATTTTAGCCACTCGATTATTATATCAGATCATTTTTGGTATGCTTTTATCTGATGCTACTTTTAAATTTAAAGGTAAAAATTGGTCATTTAAAATGAATTTAGGTGTTAAAGGGACTGTGGTTATTTTATTTATGCATGCTTTATTACATGACATTTGTACTAGTAAAGCTTTATCTATTGAATTACATGGTAAACATCCTATTCTTAGCTAGCAAACAGGTGTATCAGCTCTATTAACCAACAGTACATTTGGTACTGCCTTTTATCCGAATCATTCTAAGTCACATTCCAACGGTAATTATACTTTAGGTGAGAAAGTCATTCCTTTCCATTTATTAGATGACTATTTAACTCCCACCGCTTTAGCTTTCTGGTATATGGGTGACGGTGGTCTATATGGTAGTTATTATATTTTATGTACCGACAGTTTTGGTATTTTATCCGTTACTCAAATGATTGACTATTTAAATGACCGCTATGGTTTGGATGCTAACTTACGTATTCATAATAATGGTACTTCTAAATATCCTCGTATTGAAATTCGCAATAGAGCGCGATTTGAAATGCTTATTCTTCCTTATTTATTACCTAGTTTTGAATTTAGATTACACAATTCTACTTTACCTTCTTATGAAAATGAGATTGGTGCTGCTTATACTTCTGAATGGCATGTTAAAAATGTTAATACTGATTTTCTTATTAATAGATTACTTTCTATGCTTGAACCTAGATGGCAAACTGATCCTAAATTACGTCGTCGTTTAGATATTTATTTAGAGAAACTACGTAATCATTCATCTTAATTTATAACTACAATTTTACTAAATTTTGGGTACTTCCTTGCTTTCTATGCTATTCTTCGTGCTATTCCGAATAAAACCATGGGAGTTGTAGCTATGTTTGGATCTCTTTTAATTTTATTATTATTACCTTTAACTAATAAATTAACTATTCGTTCTAACCGTTATAGACCAGTCTATAATCTTCTCTTCTGGATCTTTGCAATGAACTTCCTCTTATAGGTAATTATGGGAGGTAAACCAGTTGCTGAACCATTCATTATGATTTCTCAAATTTCTACCTTTATTTATTTCTTCTACTTTGTTTTATTATTATTACCTGAAACTATCACTATGTTTATTCTTGCTGTTGTAGCTATTGCTATTGTTGCTTTAATTGCTGTAGCTTTAATTTACTTTGGTTTTGGCTTAATTTTAGCATGATATGTAATTAATTTTAAGGGTTTATATCATATGTAACCTATTAAATAGAATAAAGATGCTAGGTTCGATATACTCGGAATTTATCCGTTGTCAAGGTCATAGCCAAAGGGCGGTTCGCGCCCTTGACTTTGTCTGAACCTTGAGTACAGAATGCTTACTCAATCGGTAAACCTACACCAGATACTTCTATGTATCAAAGAACCTATCAGTAATGGTAGGAATTCCTCCTTATAAATAGAGGTTATGAAGGATAATAGGAATTAGGAGCCCTCAGCTAGATCTTTATGAATTACTACCAATTCGGTCCAATGATCAGGCCTGTTTGAAATACCCTTAGTTTACATGAATAAATCAGGTATCATGCTGCAATTATCCCTTAATCATCATAGGCCTATAGGGTCTAGTGTAAAAGATCCGGCCGTGAAATAAAGAATATTGTGTAGTAAACACCTAATAAGAGAGAGATTTTTTAACTCTCTATTTGTGAAATTTTGATTGTATCATTTAATTATGCCACAATTTAACCCATTCTGGTGGATCAACTTGATCTCTTGGACTTTTGCTATTCTTAGCTTTGTGACTTGGTATCATCAAGCTATTTCTTTCCCTAACACTCTTCGTATTCAATTATCTAGAGCTTGCATGTTGTTCTATTTCTGATCAGTAATCATTTGGCCCTTAGGGCCCAGCGCTCCGCGCAGTTTCGCCAAGCCTCAACTTGGTGAAACAAGGTGGACTTGCTCCACCTAATCGCTTATGGTTCAAACATTCCTACTGATATTATTTTTGCAATCATAAGCCATTTACTCCTATTGAATAGTATTTATCCGAAACTAGAGAGCGAAGTTTCGTCTTGATTCGGCAAGAGGAGCTTGCCTCATCTAGGATGGATCTAAATAAATTCACACAAACAGGTAATTGCATACTATTCTCTCTGGATTTACTAATATTATTGTGTAGTTCTATTAGTAATAGAGTACCGAAAGATAGAATAGAGACTAAGGCTATGGGTATAGGCCTATCACTTCATATAGTCTCATTCTTTGACGGGAAAGGCTCACAAAGGGCATAACTGCCTTTAGACTGTTCTCAGTGAAATAGAGAATAATACTCTATGACCAAAGGTCTGCGCTTTGCGCTAAATTAGGGAAAATTGATCATTAAAATATAAATTATTATGTTAATGGCTGCTAAATTAATTGGTGCTGGTCTTGCTACTATTGCTCTTGCTGGTGCTGCTGTAGGTGTTGGTTTAATCTTCGCCGCTTTAATTCAAGGTACTGCTCGTAACCCTTCTCTTCGTAAAGAACTTTTCAACAGTGCTATCCTTGGTTTCGCCTTAACCGAAGCTTTAGGTTTATTCGCCTTAATGATGGCCTAGATCTTCCTTTACGCCTTCTAATCTAATTTTTTAGATATCATCTTAAGTAATCTAAGCGCTGATATCACCAATATTATTGTGTAACATTTTGCACATAATGTTGAGCCAAATCAATTTTGAAGTGTAGCTCAAGTGGTTAGAGCATCTGACTTTTAATCAGAGGGTTGTGGGTTCAAGTCCCACCACTCCTATAATAGGACTAAAGGTCTCGGGCTATGCCCTGTCCTATTAAGGTAATGGTCGTTTCAAACTTACTCTAGAGAGCCAAGCCTAGACCATTCAGTAGTGGAATATCAGGTCCATAGGACCAGGTCCTAATGGGCCAATAAAGGATGGAAAGGTCTACAAATGAAAATTATGACAATGACTTTAAATTGGTTAGGTTCAGAAGTAGGATCTTTATCAATTATTTGTTATGTTTATTACTAGTTAGGAGCTCTTGCTTTTTTATCAGCTTTAGTTGTAGCATCTTCACTTAATCCTATTTATCGTATTGCTTATCTAATCTTCGTCTTTTTATGTGGTTCAGGTTTAATGATCCTATACGATTTCTATTTCTTAGGTTATACTTATATTATTGTATATGTAGGAGCTATTATGATTTTATTCTTATTTGTTATTATGATGGTTCAAATTCATTTAGTACCTTCTACTCTATCTATTTCTCCACGTATCATTTCTCATAATCAAGGGTTAGGTCAATCTTTAGCTTTAAATGAAACTACAGGATCTTTAAATTTTGGTGAAGGTTTAGCTTTCCGTATTACCAAATCTATGGTTTTAGCTTTATTCTTTGTTGGATCCTTATAGGGTTTTATGAAATCTACTTTAATGAATAATAATATGATTGTAAATTATTTTTATCCTAGTTGGGCTATTGAATTTAAAACTATGACTGATATTGAAAGTTTAGCTAATATTTTATATATCGCTTATCCTAGTGCTTTATTACTTATTGGTGTTGCTCTTTGGGTTGTAATGGTTGGTATTATTAAAGTTACTATGTCTGATAATGCAACTTAATTGTAACATACTCAAATAAAAGGGATATGATACGGTTTTAGGTTGAGACAGCCTTGGCCGAGCCTAATCCGGATCTATCTCTATCTCTATCTCTATTAGAGTTACGGAAAAATGGATGGATAGGTCATATATATAAATAAAATGAACGGTTTTGGTTATAATTTAGCTATTGCCTTATATTTAGTAGGTATTATTGCTTTTCTTTTTAACGGTGGTAAAAATTTATAGATGTTAGTAATTTCTCTTGAATTATTATTATTATCTGTTGGTATTCTTTTAGTTAATTTATCATTTCACCTTGATGATTAGGTTGGTGCTAATCTAACTCTTTAGATTTTACCTCTTGCTGGTGCTGAATCTGCTGTTGCTTTAGCATTATTAGTAGCTTATTATCCATTACGTGGTAGCGTTACTCTTAATTGACCGTAGGTCTGCGCTTCGCGCAATCTCGGATAAATCCTCGATTTGTCCGAGATAAGTCTCGGACTAATTAAGTTAACACACAGTATCGGTTGTTCAGTTTTATTTGCTTTTTGATTCACTTAACAGGCTAGGTTCAGGATGGCCTTAATGGCCAGTTTTATATGAAATAGCAGTAAATAAACCTGAGGCAGGATTATTATATTGTGTAATATAAACACTATGTGCTTGGCCCAGATATGATCCCTATAACATTTTATTTTATAGCCCAGATATGATGGCTCTAACATTTTATTACATATTGTGTTGTTAGATTTATTTAGAATAAATTTGATAGAACTATCACATATTGGTCCTTCACCTCTTATTGTGTTGTTCTATTATAATAGGTGTGCCCGAATTGGTTAGGGAGCTGACTGTAAATCAGTGGATCACTCCAATGTAGGTTCGAGTCCTACCGCCCTCAAGTAATAAAGGCCATATTTGGGTTATTGTGTTGTATTAGCCAATAAGATTGATATGAGACTAGGTTAGCTAGTCTGTTTTAATGACCATAAGCTAAGCATAGGATCCAAAACCGAAGGTGTAGTTTAATTGGTAAAACACCAGCTTGTCAGGCTGGCAGCTGTGGGTTCAAGTCCCATCACCCCCAATAGGTATGAAATATAATAAGATTGCCCAGACAAGCTGGACTTGGCTTGATAAGGCGTCCAGCCTAATGAAGGAGTTAGATACTCTAATAGTTTAGGCTAGAGAGACAAGTCTCTCTTGGCTCTCAAGGCGAACCTTGTGAGCCTAGCGTAGCTTGCCTACGCTATGCCAAGGCCTAGCCTAGGCTATTTAAATCTGTCTTAATTATTAAATATATGATTTTAGCTTTTGGTTTATAGTTTAGTGTTTATTTAGTATTCTTAAGTTTACCTGGTAATTTAAGTGCTAAAGTTTCAGAATATAAAAATCATTTTATTGCAAGAACTACTATTTTATTATTAGTAGCTTATTTATTATTCTTACTCGATTCTTTATCAGCTTGGCAAGCCTTTTTAGGTACTGGTGATGTTGTATTTATGGATGGTTTATGTAGATAGAATCCTACTATTTAGGTAAGTGAAATTTATTTAGTCTTCTTAGTATTAATTATTATGCATTTACAAGCTATTTATTCTAAACGTCCTGAATTATATTTATTATTATTATCTAATATGGTAGGTTTTATTTATTTAATTAGTAGTAATGATTGGTTAATTACTGTTACTGCTTGGGAATTATTTAATTTAGCTTTATATTTATTAGTTAGTATTAATAGTGATTCTGAAGCTGCTTTATCTGCTGCTATTAAATACTTTTTATTAAGTGCTTTAACTACTACTTTCTTATTATTATCTGTAGCTTTATTATATGCTTTTGCAGGTAGTACTCATTATGATAATTTAAGTTTCTTTTGGACTATGATTCCATATAATGAAGTTAGTTATACTCAATCTATTCCATTATTATTAATGCTTGTAACTTTCTTATTTAAATAGGGAGCTGCTCCTTTCCATAATTGGGCTCCTGATTTATATGATGCAATTCCTACTACAATTACTACTTGGATGACTAATATTCCTAAATTAGCTGTCTTAGCATTTTTATTACAAATTTATTCTTTCTTACAACCTGTTGAATTCATTTTAATTATTACTGGTATTCTTTCTTTAATTATTGGTTCTATTGGTTTAGGTGGTCAATGGCGTATTAAAAGATTTTTAGCTTATAGTTCTATTAGTAATTTAGGTTTTATGTTATTAATTTTAACTACTTTACAATTTGATTCTTATCTTTACTACTTAATTATTTATGGTTTAACTTCCATTAATATTTTTGCTATTTTACTTGCTTTAGGACAAGCTCATTGGATTGATGCTGGTACTGCTAATCGTGAAATCATTATGATTAGTCAATTAGCTGGTTTATTCAAACAAAATCCAGCTATTGCTTTAGCCTTCGCTATTTCTTTATTCTCATTGGCAGGTATCCCACCATTAAGTGGTTTCTTTGCTAAATTAATGGCTATTCAAGCTTATCTTAACCTTGAATATTATTGGATTGCTATTGTAGCTATTTTAACTTCTGTTATTAGTGCTGCTAACTATTTAGGTTTAGTTAAAGTAATTAGTTTTGATTTACCACTTTATAATTATAAAATTACTATTAGTAATTCTATGACTTATTTAATTTCAGGTTTAAGTACCTTTATTCTATTATTTATTACTAAATTCCATGTATTCTTGGCTTTAATTTGCCAATTATTATTTGTTACTGATCTTGACATGGTACTTGCTTTAATCCCCTTAATCTGCTTAAGTCGTGAATCCGAAAAAGTATAGACTATGGCCTTGACATAGGCTAGAGACAAGTCTAGTCTATCGGGTAATAGGTCCAATCTCTATATATCAGTACTGATTCAAATAGGAGCCAATACTTTAAAGGCCTTTAGGCCTCATTACTATCTATAATAGACTATATTTATCTACACAAGATTTTACTATCCACAAGGATTGAGCATTTCCCTAGTACTTTAAACAGTATAGGCTTGACATTAGCTAGACAAGTAATGCTAGGCTGATTCTATCACATAGCTATTGATATAACACAATATTCTACAAATGGTTAACTTAATTTGATCCCCGCCTTGCAAAATGTTTTTGAAGAAAATGGGGCCGACCTTTTTCTTCTCTTGTTGAGAGCTAAAAAATGATAAAATATGTCTAGGCTCGCAAGGCTCGCCTTGAGAGCCAAGAGAGGCTTGGCTCTCTAAAAAATGATCAAATATACCCCCTGCTTTATAATAGATGTTGTTGGGGAACATAACATTTGTTCTATAAACTGTACCAATAACATTACCAAACTCATCTTTAGAAGGTCTTATATTATCTATTACTTTTTTGTATCAGGATTATTTTTAATTGCTTCATCAAGAATTGAATTAAGTTCAGCTGTTTTATCATCACTAATAGGAGCAAAAATTTATAAACCAAACTCTTCGATATTGGGTAGCTAATACTTATCCATAAAAAAATTATAGCTATAAACTAATATATTAATAAGTTGATTAAAAGTATATTTACTAGTTAATACGAAATTAGAACCAGATCTAATTCCTCCACCTCCAGCCTATTTAAAACGAAGTTGAATACGATGAATGTATCTTCCATCGCTTCTAAATTTAATAATAAGGTCCGTGATAACTTTGGCTAATGATTCCATAGTATTGAGTCTAACATAAAATTTTACCCATGTTTATAATTTTCATAATCTATACTGTTTAATCGACAAGTATGCACGCTTATCGTGATTTAAATTACTACCATTATTGTATACGTATAAATACGATTAACAGACAAGCGTGCTTCAGAGAGTTGATTGCTTTAATAGTGATTTAATGGTTTAATAGTGATGTTCTTAACATTTTAGGTGTCTAATAACGGAATTACCTCGTAATAGATTCTTGATCTCTACTACACAATATGTTGTGCATATCAGGTCTATTAACTTCTATCTCATATTCAAACTGACCATTACGGCGGCCTATGGCCCATTCTGATTTGGAATCACTATAAGCATTTCTGTATGCTTATTATAGAAGATAGGACCAAAAAGTCCTGAGATTATGAAATCAAACTAGGACGAGCCAAAGGCTCGGACTAAAGATATCAAAGCCGAATTTAAGCTACAGCTTCAACACCTAAATCACCACCCCAAACATAGAATACTAAGTAAAGGAATAACCATACGACATCGACAAGGTGCCAGTACCAAATAGCGTAGATGGCAGCGTTGTGATGTTCAGAAGTAAAACCATCAAAGAATAATCGTACTAAACATACAAAGAGGAAGGTTACACCTGCAAAAACATGTAAACCATGTAACCCCGTGGCCATAAAGAAGGTAGATCCAAAAACACTATCAGCGATGGTGAAAGAAGTATAGTAATATTCAGTTACTTGAATAACTAAGAATAAAGCACCTAATAAAACAGTAAATAAGAAACTAAGAATAGCGGTATCTTTACCACCTGCTACAATAGCATGATGACCTACAGTTAAGATGAAACCAGAGGCTAATAAGACACAACTACCCTATAATGGAACAGACCATGGATTAACGGCATCCACACCCACAGGCAAATAACTACATATTATTTTGAGTTTTCTAATCGATAATATTGAGAAGGATTGCGCGGAGCGCTGGGCCAAACCCAATTAAATTGATTATCTATGTAGATAAGACTTTACCATAATCAGTTTAACTGATCTTTAGTATACAAGTCGTTGAGGTAATTATTTTATAATCACCTGCTGATTTGATATAATCATTATCGTTCCAGCATTTTACTAAATTTTAATGGCCCCCTGTGATGGTTAAGGCCATTGACAACCTAATTCTACATTAGGAGAAAGAGAGCTATTTAACATGGCCCAGAAGAAGCTGACAAACTACATGATTTCAGATACTAAAAAAAGTAAGAAACCAATCATTAAACCACGTTGAACTAAGATAGTATGAAAACCACCTTTAGATTCACGTAATACATCACGCCACCATAAAATAGCGATTAAAGCTACTACAACTAATTGAGGAGCTAAATTAGTATGGTATTGTCCTAACCAACTAATCATACCAAGAGCGAATGATAATAAAGCCTAAGACATAAATAATGGCCATGGAGAAACATCAAGTAAATGATAAGGGTGTCTAATTTGGAATTTCATAAGATATCGTATAAATTTGCCTGAACTTTAGGAACTTGTCATGCTGTAGACTCTTCATAGTATATAAGGAGCTTTACTACATTTATCTCCTATCTATGGCTAGGTTTCTTCCTTATTATACCTAGCTTCTTTGGATTCGAACTATAGGTCCGAATTCTGGTGTAAGTTTACCAAAAATACCCAAAATAGGGTTAGCACAAGTATTAATACCTATTGTCAAATTAGCTCTAACGAACGAATCTGTTAACAGCCTAATAACGAGAGTTATTAAATAAGTTAGCGACAATGTAAAGGAAGTAGAATACAGAAATTACAGTTAAGAAACTACCTACAGTCATATATGAGCTCCAAGAGTTGTATGCGTCTGGGAAATCAGGATATCTTCTAGGAAGACCTGCGAGACCTAAAAGATGCATTGGAAAGAATACAAGGTTAATAGCAATAGTGAAAATAGTAAGATGAATTAAACCTAATTTTTCAGAATATTGAAATCCGGAAATTTTACCAATCCAATAATAGAAAGCAGCAAACATACCATAAATAGCACCCATAGAAAGAACGTAATGGAAGTGAGCTACTACGTAGTAGGTATCATGGAGAGCAAGATCAATAGAAGCATTAGCTAAAATTACACCAGTGAAACCACCAATAGTGAATAATACAATAAAGGCAAGAGCAAATAGGAAAGGAGTATAGAAATGAAGTTTACCACCGTAAATAGTGGCTAACCAACTAAAGATTTTAATACCAGTTGGTAAAGCAATGATCATGGTGGCAGCGGTGAAGTAAGCACGTGTATCAACATCAAGACCCACGGCGTACATGTGGTGAGACCACACAATGAAACCAAGTAAACCAATAGACAACATAGCGTAAACCATCCCGATGTACTTAAAAT